GTTCTGTCACAGGTTTAAACCAGTTTCTGGTGACTTAAACTGGTTTATGTGTAACTTGTGTCCCTAGCCTTGGGGAATGTGTACACATGCTTGTGCCCCAGTGTCCGGCGCTTTTAAAAGCACCCAACGCTGTGGCGCATGTATTTGTATAAATGGCGAAATGCACATCAGTGCTGAGAAAATGGCAGTGGCGTGCTTTTGAACTAAAAGACATTGAAGGTGTTTTAATTCAAAAGCACGCCGCTGCCATTTTCTGCACGCTGATGCACATTTTGCCATTTATACAAATGCATGCAACACAGTGCCAGGCACGTTGGCTCACGTGCAGAGCAGACTCAAAAGAGCTACTCGATTTAATTGAGTTTGCTCCGACATGCTGGATCTCTTGCGTGCTGGAACAGACAAATGTATGTGTATAAATGTCTTTAGAGTCTAGATGTAGCTATCTAGTTAGGGCATAACTGAAAATGAGCTTGGTGATGTGTGCCCTGGTTCCCTGGGACAGCTGGTGGGATTTCAGAACCCCCAGCTATCCCAGGGAACCAGGGCACACATCACCAAGCTCATTTTCAGTTATGCCCTAAATAGATAGTTGCATCTACACTCTAAAGGCATTTATACCAGTCTGTTTTTCAGGGTTCTTTCCAGGCGTTCCTATAGTTTATAGTGTTCTAGTATCTGAGCACCTTGAAAACAATGAATATAGCTTTTCTTTTGTGAGGAAGGGAAATACCATCCCTGTTTTACAACTGAGAGACTGAGGCTTAGATTAAAGGCCTAATTTTAATTGAAGGGGTTGAACAGTTCAAATTTCAGCAAGATGGCTGCTTTAAAATGGGGTTCTGAGACAGCCTGGTTTACAAAGCTCAAATTGGCTAGAGGCAGTTTGTGAGCACTAAGCACTTCTAAAAATCATAGTCCATGGTACACCTGGGGATTGAAGGCTTCTTCTGAAACTCATCCCCCCCATACTGACCTTATCTAAGTTAACTATGGAATGACAAAGCACGGAAGGGTATTTCCAAGACTAACCCCAGGTGTGACAACTCACTAATTGAAGGGTAGTAGTTTAGGGCTGTCCTGCTGAGTGAGCAGAATGGTTCCTGCATTTTTATGACAACTCTTGTCACCCTCATAAAGTGCATTTCCTATTAGGGATGAGGTGAATGGCAGGGCTGTGCCAGTAAGGAACATGACGCAAAAGCTGGTACCATCTGTTTCGTGTTCATGAGCATGAGTGACAAAAACTTCATTGGGCCTGTGAAGGGAAGAGAAAGAATATGTGCCTGGTTGTAAAGTTCATCTCACATTGCATTAGCGGAGCGTTGTGTCAGTTCAGTGCTAATAATCCTGAACCCTTTAAGTACCTTAGGAACTCTGCCCAAGCAAACAGTGGCCATATGGACTCTTCAGCATAGATCCTGGTGTTCCTTAACAAGCTGGGATCAATGCTCCTGCTCCTCCCCCCACAGAGGGATAGAACTTGTAAGGTTAATCTGCCAGTGACTATTTGCCCGAATCACTTTATGCAGGGAAAACATAATTATGGCGCTACATGTCATTAGTACACAATGGCTCTTAAACGAACCAGATTGAATTAAGCCTCCTAATGGCATTGCATCCAAAGTAAATAACAAAAAAAACAGATCCGCTGGTGAGTGACACAGCTATCTGTCAGATTCTATTAGAAGAGCAGGAAGATGGGGTTAGCCAGCAATAGTAGCAGTGGCATAGTCATTAAATCAGACATTGGCTGGGGGTCAGCAGGGTTTTTTATGGGTCTCTTAGTGTTGCAGGAGGGCTTGGGGGAAGTACGCACACTGAGTGCAAGCAGAAGCTGCCTGGTTTCAATATTTAAGCTGAAAAAATCTAAACTTAATCTAATGGGTGGTGGATTTTTAATGCTGTATGGGTTTGTTATCATTGTTTTCATTTCAAGAACTGTATCTGAGAAGAACATTTATTTTTGCTTGTGTAAATAATTAACAGGCAAGATGCTGGTGCTCCAAAATATGTAACATGGTTCCTGGACTTTGTAGCACCTAGAAACCGTATACTGCAAATGTTTTCCTCTCGGCAGTTCTCTACATTGAGAGTTCAATGGTGTCAGGCTCTCAAAGCACTTTACAAATATTAATTAATCTCCCAGCAGGCCTGTGAGGTCAGGAAGGATCATTGTCCCTCATTCAAACTGGGAAACAGAGGCGCTGGGTTAGAGAGACAGCCAAGATTGGAGCAAATAGGAAAACTGAGGAGAGAACAAAATCAGTCTACTAGCTGCTCTGACGGCCAGACCAGATGGCACTTTGTCCCAGTGAGTTGCCAAAAAGTGTTTGTAGCAAAGTAAAGAAGTCTTGCATTGTTTAAACACAAAGAGGAATCAGCAAAAATCTCATTCATGTTTCCTTGCGGGGTTGTTGCAGTGGATGAGTTACATAATGATTGCTTGTATTGGAAAATAGGGTAGCCTCACGTCTAGAGCACAGGCATTAGAATGAGCTCCAAAGTCTCCTCTTAAACCATCTCCTGCTGAGGTTGTGAGCAAATCACTTAACTGTCTGCCTGTCAAACTGCTGGCTATGAAAACAGCTGAGTCAAGAGTGCAGTGAGTACTATTCCTGCTTGGGGAAGTGGCCAGCCCTACAAAAACTCTAGACTGCCACTAGAATAGGAAGTCCTAGTCAGCATGCAGTTTAGACTTGTTGGGTTGGTAAAACATAACTGGGTTGCAAGATATACTGTAATTTCTGAGGCATCTGGATTTTTGTAATGAAGATACAAAGTTTGTTATGAGCTGCTTTGTGGCTGTGATGGGTGAGGAGCCAGAATGGAGTTTTGGGGGACACTTCTCAACAAATCCATGTTTTGTGGTGGCCTGCAGTCACAGAGGACTGGACTCCATGACCCTTCTGGGTTTGTTCTCCTGGGTACCTGAGCTAAGGTCCTGCATATAACCAAGGCTTTGACAGATCACAGGACATTGTTAATGTTCAATATGTTTTGCAGGCTCGAAGCATATTGTGCTGGTGTTCCCAGGCTCGGTGACTTTAGGAGAAGCCTTCAGCTCTCACACTTATTTTCCATTTCACAAATGAGGATTGGAACTTCTTGCAGTTTCATGGCCATCTGAACAGTTATATTAACTGTATAGCAGCGTCTGAACTAGAGCTGGTCTGAAATGGGTTTTTTGTCTTGCAAAATTTTTTGATACTGAGGCTAATTTTTTTTTTTACCTAAATCAGGACAAAAAGCCAACGTGTTGAATTTCTTTGCAAAACCAAGTTTGTTTCAGTTGAAACATCTTGTTTTGTTTAAATGAAAAATACTTTTTTTGTTTCAGTCACTTTCATATGAATTTGTAATAGAAATTTTTTAATTCATTTCAAAACACATTACTGAAACTTCTCATTTAAGGGTTTTTTTGGAATAGTTTTCTACTATTTTTTAACAAAATACCTGTATTTTGTACCTCAATCTGTGCCATCTTTTGAAATTTGGATAAAATGCAATTTTTTTTCCAGTGACTAGAGGGTTTTCATATAAAATGTTTTCATCCAGCTCAGTTCTACATGCTAATCCTGAGCCTTACTGTGTTCTCTGGGGGCGGACCACAGGAGTTCTGTTCTTTCTCTGTGTACATTACAAGGTCTGTTTCTCTATAATAAAGTGGGGGAAAGTGACTTGTGGAAAATCTGGCATCCTCCTGCTTGTGCTGAAGCTTTGGGAATAGCCGGTAGCGTAGGCTCTAAAGATTTTTTTCCGCCCCCTTAGCCTCATTAATGTTCTTTAGTTTATAGCTCTGATTTCTCTTAATGGTTACATCCCCTGACTGCAAATGAGATGGGATTCAAGTAGGAGGCACTACATTATCCCCAGGGAGGAAGTGATTATAGAACCTGTGGCTTGTGCCTTTTCTAGCTCAGTGACATCTGAGATGGGAAGAACATTAGCCTGCAGAAACTCTGGAAGATGAGGGGATCAAAAATAAACCACATTGAGCAGGCCTAAGACATAAGTCTTCATGTAAGTGATGGATTTGTGAAGCAATCCCAGTCCTTGCTTTTTGGTTAGTGGGTATTTAAAGGCACCCTTGTATACCATGGCATATGTCTCTAGCTGTTACCTTATACCATGTCTGGATTTGATTCCTAGTTCTTGTCCTTAACACAGCATAGGTGTTTTGCAAGCCTGTCAGAAGCTTTCCTTGAACAAAAAACTGATGAAACCGGCACAGGGAGGAGGGATCCTAATAAATTCCCCAGTCCTCTTAAGACTTGGGATGCCCTTGAGACAAAGTAGTTCAGGTGAAATAACCAAACTACTGTATATGAATGACCAAAATGATTACGAATGTTGGGGCCTCTGGTCTTGTTTGAGTCAGCAACACATTAAGAAGGCCTGTTTCTCACAGGGTGGATGCTCAGATTTACTGAGAAAAATTAGGCCCTTTTGCAGTGTTAAGCTGGCACTTAAAATCATTTGGTTCTTTTGGAAAAAATTGGTTCAGGTGTATGATGCACACAGAGAAATCTGTTTGGAGGCTGTGCTCAGATATGCTGGAATCAAAATAGAATGCAGACTGCTACAATGCAGACACATGCAAATCACAGTTGCACGTAGGACGAGGCCTTCTTTTGGCATATCTGTGAAAAATAATGTATCACTGCCCTCTGTTGGATAAAATAAAGATGATACATTATCATAAATACTGAATGGACCATCTGTTAGCTCAAGTGCCAGGAGCTTTTGGAGGAGGTGGCTCAGTGTTCTAACCCCATGGTTGTCATAAAGTTTCAAGCTGCCAGTGAGCAATGTAGTGACAACCTGCACCGCTAGGTTGTCAGTACCAATGAACTCCTTCACCGGGACCACGATTCTGTTGGCTCTTTTTGAGAGTGGGCAACATTTTCAGCGGACATTATCGATCACTCCAATCCTACTACAGTATGTTTAGGACAGTTGATTGAACACTCCTTTTTTCCTGTCTTTTTTGCTTGCAGTATGTTACTTACTGAAGAATGATATCAACCCAGACCTGTGCAATGAAGATGGATTAACTGCACTGCATCAGGTGAGGCCTTGGGAAACCCTCACTGTTCTCAGCTGCTTATAAAATGTTTAGCCACCTCCATGATGCTTGAGCTCCAGGGTGTTAGCATGTCTGTATAAAGGTATCTGGGAGGGCACTTCTTAGAGGCAAGAAATGTTTTTTCTACTTGTATTTTGCTTTTTTTTTTTTTTTAATAAAAACACACGGAATCTTCTGTATAGCAGGAACCTCTCATCTTTGGGGACTCACCTGAGATTGGAGCCCTCCTCCCTATACATCAAGCTACCTTCAGCTATGGTAGGACCCACACAAGACTTAGCAATTAGTCCCAAATTTTAAACAAGAAAAAGCAGGATTTCTTCTGCCCACCAATTCTCCACAAGCACAGGATAGGTTGATTTGACTTTCCCCAGAAGACAGACTTGCACATCAGTTTTAAAAGGGTTTTAGTTAAGTCAGTGCATTAACTATTAGGCAAACTGCTGCAACTCCCAATTGTGGGTGCTTGCAAACAGATTTATAGTACTCACAGTAATCTACAGGTGCCCATACAAGAGAACTGCAGTTACAGAACTAAAGCGGTTTAAAACTGATTTTCACTAAAATTCAGTGGTAGGTTTATGGGCATTTAGGGCTACTCAGCTCTTTTGTGGCTGTGATTTATTAGCAATAATAACGGAGCAGGGTCCTTTCCTGTGGCACCTTGGACCAAAGACTCTTGAGGGCTTAAATCCATCTTTTATAGGTCCTAATTCCCTTCTCAGCTATTAAATTTAGGTCCTCCAGTGCAAAAATGCAAGAAGAGCTAAGCTGCTACCAGTTCACAGGAATTGCAGTGACTAGATGTGTCAGCTGGCAGGCTTCTCTGTCATAGATAGAGTGGATGACAAACTGTCTTGGGGTTGTTGAGTTCATTCTGAGGGTGGATAGGATTGCCTAACTTGTTTTTCCCTAGTCCATGTTACAAATGCTCCCATAGACTCTGGAACTTGGATTTTTCTGCAAGTGGTTCTCTCTCTTTTGGTGCTGGGTGGATTTTTGCTTTAAAGTACAAATCAGCTCCAAAAACAAGAAAAGCTTTTTTTCTCTCCAGAGGGACATTGTTCAGCAGAGAAAAGGAAAGATTTTAAGTCCCTGACAGTGGTGGTTTCATTATTTTCAAGCCATGGCAAAAAAATCTACTTAGCCCACAAAACCATCAGACAGTGCAGGGATCGGCAACCCCCAGCACATGTGCCAGAGCATGACACATGAGGCCATTTTCCTCGGCAGGCCATAGATGACCTATTCTCTGGGCAGCTTTTGCCAGCAGCTGCCCAGAGCCCAAGCAGGCTGCAGCTGAGAGGCTGCAAACAACTGCATGGGGCTCCGCAGCCCCAGCACCAGTTCTGTGGCTGCAGCATCTGTGCACGCACCTCTGGATGCATGGCCAGGAAGGGGCCTGGGGCAGCTCAACCCTGGCTTTTCCCCCCCTGTCTGCTCAAAGGCATGTGTGCAGCTGCCACTACCACAGAGCCGGTGCTTTGGGCTGCAGAGCCTGGCACAACTGTTTGCAGTCTTCTAGCTGCCTGCTACAGCTGCCCAGAGCCTGGGTTGGCTTTGGAAGGCAGCCAGGAGGCTGCAAACAGCTGTGCTGGGCTCTGGAGCCCTGGCACTAGCTCTGTGGTAGCGGCAGCTCACAGCACATGACAGGGAAGGGGCTGGGACAGCGCAACCCCCGGCCCCTCCCCTGCTGTCCACCCAGAGGCATGTATGCAGCTACCGCCACTAATGAAGATCCAGCCCCGTGCGGCTCCTCCATCTCTGGCACACCACATAGAGGCATGGGTGGAGGTTGGGGTGATTTTGGCACTCCGGCCAAAAATGTTGCCGACCCCTGAGATAGTGTAAAGATGCATTTGGGAGCCAAGGCAAGAACAAGGGCTTCACTGCAATTGATTGATTCCCAGATGCTATATGTATATATGACTATGGTGTTAGCACATCTTTCTTATGGGAGCATGAGCTTGTAAGCATGGGGCAGATGAAAGAGAAAATGTGCTGTTCTCCAGATAAGGTCATCTTGGGTCTTTCTGGCATCAGCTCAGGACACTGAACCAGGTGCACATGGGAGAGTCACATACTTGAGATTAAGGTCACAATGGAGAGGAAGGCAAGAATTGAAAAGCACCCTCTCCCTACTCCTTTCTTTCGACAAGTGACCAAAGCTTGTTGAGGAGAAAAATCAATTGTTCTTTAGAAGATAAATACAGGCTTCTGTAGACAATGTTGAAAATTAAGAAACAGGAATAATAATAATAATAAAGTTCTAAGTACTGCAGTAAATTGCCACAAATCTTTAAAAAGACTAAAACAGTCTTCTGCAGCAATTGGACCACCAGAAGTGAGGAGGAAAATCTAAAATATTGTGACCAAGACTTTTCTAAAAGGACAGGTGATTTTTTTTTTTTGCGGTGCCCACTTTGAAACACTTTAAAGGGAACAGATTTTCAACAAGTGAAAATATTGAAAAATCAAACCTCTAGTTGGTGCAGAAAATTGTGGCCAGCAGCTTAATATCCACAGAGACTTTTCTGCTGTAGAAATGGATCTTGGTCCCCTTACTCTTCTGGATCCCATGTACTTTCAAGAGTTTGCCCATTCTTGGCTCCAAGGAGTGAGTGGATTGTGTGCTATCTGAGTTAAAGGGAATTTTCTCTGAGGAGGAAAGTGAGTAACACTCATGTATTGGCTCCTGCAGGTGAGGGAATCGAGGAAAGTGAAGCCAGGTATATTTCCCATGCACAATTCTTGGTGCAGTGGAAATAACTAAAGACCAACAGGCTCTAAGTAAAAATATATCTATCTGCTTATATTTCCTATTAGTGCTGCATAGACAACTATGAAGATGTAGTTAAGATTCTTCTCAATCACGGGGCCAACGTCAACGCAAAGGACAATGAGCTGTGGACACCATTGCACGCGGCATCTACGTGTGGTCACATCAACTTGGTGAAGATTCTAATTCAGCAGTAGGTGGCCCCTGCTTCCTTTATATCTCTCTCTCTGTGGGCCAGAATCTGCCAGGTGCTGATTGCTTTCTCAGAGGTACTTAATGCCCACAACTTCTACTGATGTCAGTAGGAATTGAGACCCTGAGTGCCTTGCAGCATCTGACCAGTAGTGTCTGTTTCCCAGGCCAGTGCCACACGTGGATGATTCATTTGCTAAGAAATGATGTTGGGGTTGAAAAGAGGACAAAAAAAAAGAGACATAAGAGAGAAAACATTAAAATACCGGATGACCTACTTGAGTTAGCTTGGAAGAGGGCAGGTACCAATTTGGTTTAAGGCTCTGTGGATTTATATATCTGTCACTTGTCACTTTTCTCTGGCAGGAGATGTAGTTCACCTCTATTCTTCCAGGCTTCTGCTTACTATAGACATGCAAGCATGCCATTTAGTAGATTAGACCATAGGCCCATCTATCCCAGTACAGATTTCCCTCGATTTATGCAGGTTCTTTCTATGCGAATTCACTCTTATGCGATGAGCATATTTAGACTCATAATTTGTTATATGTAAGGTAAATTTGCTGTTATGCGATCAGCCTAGATGCCAACCCTGCCCAAGCAGGTAAGTCTGCGGGGGGAGGAGAAAGGGCCTTGGCCCCATTCACCCCAGCCCTGGCTGCAGTGGCCCCAGGAGTGGCTGGCACCACCTGCCTGCAGACGCTGGGCTGCACCATGCTCTGCCTGTCCCCCTGCACTTTGGCAAACCCCAGCTCCTGGGCTGCGCCATGCCACGGTGCAGGCAGCTGGTGTCGGTTGCTCCCAGGGCCACTCCAGCACGGGCAGCCCTGGGCAGCGCAGGGTGCAGCACTCACCCCAGCCCCAGCTGTAGCAGCCCCAGGAGCAGCTGACACCAGCTGCCTGCACCAGGGCATGGCGCAGCCTGGGAGCAGAGGTGAATGGGGACAGGCGGAGCACGGTGCAGCCCAGCAGCTGCAGGCAGCTGGCACTGGCTGCGGCTGGGGCCACTGCGGCTGGGGCTGGGGTGAGTGTTGCTCTTTTCCCTCCGCTTTGCTGTCTTGCGCAGCCCCAGGAGCAGCATTCCTCCCCCTACCCCTTCCCTAGTCCCAGCACACTCCCTTCCTCTGTCCCTCACGGTCATGGGAACCTATTTGTTACATTGTAAAGTGAGTTTGCTTTATGCAAATTCAGTTTATGCACCGTTCTCCAGGAATGCACGTACAGCATAAATCGAGAGAAACCTGTATCTTGTTTCACACAGAACATAAATTGCATCATGAGGTGGAGGGTAAACAGGGCATGGCCAGAATTTTGTGCTCCCTGCTTCTCTACTGTTGGAGCTTCCAGCATTCAGAGGTGTATTAATTTCTGCTTCAGAAATTCCCACCTACCGTATTCACAACCTGCTGATGGACCTTTTCCTCCAAGAAATTATGCAATCTCCTTTTGAACTGGGTTACACTATCAGCTGCCACAAAATGTTGTAGCAAGGAGTTCTACAAGTTGATAACATGCTGTGAAAAACACTTATTCATGCTATTTTCATTTTATGTCCTCTGCGGCCAATATTTTGAGAATAAATAAGAAATCCCTGTTCACTTTCTCTGTGCCATTTGATATTTTGTAACTATTTTGTAAATGCTCCCCTTCAAGCCCCTCTTTTCTAAGCAGCAGAGATGCAGGAAAAGGAGTGGCCAGGAAAAGCATGACCTGAGCATGGAACTCTCTTAAAAGGCCCTAAGCACTGCTTCAGTCCTCTAGCTTAAGTTGGGCACACACTAATAGAAACCATGCAAGGTATTTGTGTTGCACAAATACTACTAAGAACATGGGGGTTGGCATATGGGTAAGTTTTTAACACTCCTTGTCTAACTGATCGCTACTTCCTAGTAAGCGCAGGTAAGAGCATAGCATGCTTGATCCCAGCTGTGCTACACAATATGCTCATGCTTGACATCCCAGTTGCTTCAACCATGGCCCAAAACCTTAAGTCACTCATGTTCTCAGTTTGAAAATGAGTCTGTAGCCTGCATGGCCATGTCTGCAATATGAAGCTATAAGCTTGTTGTGTCAGAAGAGACTCTCTAGCAGACTGAAGAGAATCCCTGCATATCAATATGTTCCCTCTAGCTGCTTCTTTTTCTCTATATCCTGGAATACTGCGCTATCAGCGGGAGACTGGGAAATTCTGACTCTTGTTTCTTAGGCAGTGAATTCTGCCGATAATTAAGATAGTGTGTCTATGTCCTTGAAAAACAGCCCCTTACAAGCTCATCCCTTGTTTTGAGCTTTTGGCAGTTCCCTTTGGCTATAATGTTCCCTTTAGGCTATGAGTAGTCTCAAGGGCTAGGAGAGAGCAGCAAATTGGTATGAATCTGAAAGTTTAGGGAAGGGGAATGAAAATGGAGGAACTAAATGTAGGGATGTGCTACACTCCTGGCTCGGAGCTGGATATAGAAGAGGATATAGCTTGAGGGATAAAAAGCAAACAATCAAACTGGAGAGCTGAGAGTGCATCTGCTCTTCAGATGGGTTCAGGTTGGCCTGTGCTGACCAGCCCAGTAAACCAGCCTTACAGTAGCATCATACCATGTGTCAGGTTAAGAAAACAAGCTGCTAACTGTAGGTTTTGTGGAGTTGCTCTGACCATTATAGTCTTCTACAAGAAGTCTTGCAGGTCAAAGGGCTTGTTTTAAACAATGCCATCCAAGAGTTTCATTAACAGAACATGGAACATGTGGACACTAGCTTATAAAGGATGTTGCGTTCCCTGCTTTCTTAGACGTTAAACTGAGTCTATAATACTTTAAAAATACTATTTGCTCTGTCTGATCTGAGCGGGAAAAAACCTGGAGTGAATATACATGGAATGTGAAAGTCATCTGCCCTCCTTGAAGACTAACTGCCGAGGAAGATCCAAGCTTAGCGGTGGTAGAATATCAGTTATATAACTAGACTGTACTCAATTCAGAAAGTACTGGGAAATCTGTCATACTAGGAAACAGTAGCAGACAGTAGTCAAAACAAATGAACAAACTAATGGACAATAGGTAAAAATTCCTCAGACAGGAATTTGATAGCAAGCATGTGTTCCTTATTGAACTAGGAGTCTTTTCCCTCATACTACAGACATCCCCCATAACCCTTACTGAAAACATTTTGAATGCTGGGAGTGCTATCCAAAGCATCTAGCTAATAAGCATTCTTTAGTTGTTTGGCATTTATATTGCAGCAGCTTCTTGTATGTGTAGTTTTGGACACCACTGAGCAGTCAACCTGTTTACCTTTAGTAATCCTGAGAGGAAGAAATGTGAACATAGCAGGAGAGGCTGCTGGGTCCCTGCACAACCCAGATAACTTGCCCCATACCCCATGTAGGAGGTGTGGTATCCTATGAATACATTGGCTTCTAGACTGAGATGTTCAAATACCAATCTTCCATAAGTCTCAGGTGTATAGCCTTATGTATCTTCATCTCTGTCTAGTCCCACAAAAACCTTGGTATCATTCAAACATCATAAGTTAGTATTAAAACCCCAGTGGGGTCCTCAGGGGATTTGTCCCGGCTTCCATATCCTGTTGGATATTGCCTGATGTATGAGAGCATCTGAGTTTCCCTTCCTGTCTCTGTGTATTTTTGTGTCACTTCCTTATTGTTGACTTTGCCCTTGCAGTGGGGCAGACTTCCTGGCAGTAAATGCAGATGGAAACATGCCATATGATCTTTGTGAAGATGAGCCAACCCTCGATGTCATTGAGACCTGCATGGCCTACCAGGGTAAGGAAGAATGGGTACACTTAATGTAGTGAAAGTATGCTAGTAAAGTATTGACTCTTGTCTTGTTCTTCAGCTCTTGGTATGTCTCTGGAGAAAAAAGATTGTTTTGCTTAATCTTCAATAGTGTCCAGGGTAAAAGACTTGATATCCACCTACCTATCCCCTAGCGGTATTAAGCTTTACTGTGCATTGTGCCTCATTGTGTCAAATAGACATACTCTGAGAGACATGTCTATGTTGTGGTGGCCCAGCCCTGACATTCCCTCCCCTCTCTCTGCATTTCCACTTCTGCTCCAAACTGGTAATGTCTGTCTCTGCTGTCATTCTTGTTACCTTGGCCAAAATGCCTCATGTCTACACTACTGTACTGCCAACCTGGTTGCCTTTCAGTATCCTAGAAGTGATAACACATCAGTAGTGGGTGGGGAAGGGACACATAATGCTTATGTGGTCCGTCCAGTGTCCATCCAGCACATTGATCAGATCAGCACCAGAAATCCTAATACAATTATTGCGGTTATTTCCAAGTCAGTCAAGGAAAATTAACATTTCCCTTTCCCCTATTAACTGCAGGCATCACACAAGAAAAAATCAATGAGATGCGGGCTGCTCCAGAGCAGGTCATGATCTGTGACATCCATGATATGATTGCAGACGGAGATGACCTGAACAGGACAGATGATCAAGGTGCTACATTGGTGAGCAGAATTGCTACACTATCCACTGTAAGCTGTCCCTTTGGCCCAACTGGTGTTGAGGTTGCCTGTGGTGTATGGCCTTTTAAAATCTCAAAGGCAAGTGCTGTGTGAGGAGGTACAAGATTAGTGTTTCTGGTTTCCTGGCTTATCCTCTTCAACTAACAAGCCCATTTCATGTGTCTTGACTCATAGCTTGCTTTTGTGTCTTTTTGTAGTTAATGATAAAGTATACGGGAACATTAGTTATGGAAATTCCTATCAGATCATTTGCATGCATAGTTCAGACAGCATACTGTCTGAGAGCAGCTGGTACCAGGTGCAAGAAATGCAAGAAATCTCATAATGGACAGTTATAGAATGATGGAACTCTTCTAGCCTTCTGCAGGAGAAGGAACTTGGAAAAAATATGTTGGTAGGCTGAAAAAAACAATTGAATACTTCTAAGTCTACTTATCCTGGAGTTCAGATCTGGCTTCCATTGGAAGAGAGCATAAAATCCCTTATGTGTTTCATGAGAAGATGATCATACCCTTAGGCTGTTAAATATTTTGATAGGCATTCTGGAGAGTTTCCATCTTAAGATCTCTTGCTACCCTTGCATCATAATCTTTTTTGATACACTGAAAAAATTGAGACATTTCCACTGTGGTCTCAAAATTATTTACACGGGGTAAAATTCACCTTTGAATGGAGGGATGGCACAAGGCCAAGCCTTGTTTTGAGAGGTAGAGGCTTTTAAAAGGTTGAATGATCTGACCCCCTTCTTTTTTTTGTTGTCCAAAGTGAGCTTTTCAGGTTTTTATCACTTAAACTTTCTTCACAGCTGGATTTTACTAGTATTAGCAATACATATAACATCTTTAGTTTATATAATCTTTGAGTGTGATCTTAGAAGCTCAATATTTGAGCCTACAGATATCTAGAAAGTTTTTGTATCCAGGCTACCCAGTGTTGTTATACAAGTGACCAAACCCTACCAGTGCAGTGAAGTCTCACTCTAAAGCATTGCCTACATGAAAGTCCAAAACCCTTCCCAAAACCCTAGTTAGTGTTTGAGCAGGCAGGATTCCCAAGTAAAACTTAGGAGACTGCAGTCTTTCTCACAGCTTACATTTTCAGGTCATTCCTAGATTTCCCTTCTTAATGGTCGATTCTTTGAACATTTCCTTGGACTTTTCCTTTAGTACCCAGCTCTTGCTTATAGAGATATAAGTATTGGGGTGACAAGTCAGCTCGATTAGAATTATTTGATTCTGACAGCTTCTTGAATGGGGATCAAGTGTGTGTTAACCTTTTAAGCTGTTGTTCCTAAAAGTAAAGAATGACAGTCTAGCCATTTCCTATTGATGTGCAACCCCCTGCTGGCCTCATGAAGGTATGACTCACTGCTGCAAAATATGAGAAGAGAACAGTTGATGCTGTGAGGAGGAGATAGGATAGGACTGCTGTTATTTAGTTTGTGTATGTGTGTGTGTAGAAAAAGCTATTAACGTGTATCCCTTTTACGAGAGGCAAGGATTTTTGGGGTGGTGTTTTATTGGACCAACTGCATGGCTGGTTTAAAGTTGGACAACTTTTGAATGATAGCCATCCTTCATCAGGTGACCCCCTAGTCATCAAATATAATCAGATATCACCCAAAGAAATCCTTAACCTTTCATATAATTCCTGGACCATCACAGGTACACTACTGAAACATGGAAGATAATAGGGCTGTGTGAAGCTTTGAGTGCTGATTCAATTTGGAAGAGATTCGGCTTGATTCGGTGGCCAGATCTCCAAATCCAAATCGAATCAGGGGACCAATAAAAAGGTCCGAATCAATTCGAAGCTCTCTGAATCTTCAGAAAAGATTTGGAGAGCTTTGATTCGGGCAGTCACTGCTGGCTGCAAAAGGGAGCTGGAGCCGGACTCGGAGCTGGTAAGTAGGGGGCAGGGGAGAGGTGGCTGAAGGAGGGGGAGGGGACCATGGGGGGACCCCTGCCAGGCCCCATCCCCTGCCTGCCCCCCCATGGCTGCCCCACCCATCCCAGCTCCTGGTGCTTTAAAAAAAAGCCCCACTCACCAGTGCTGCTGGGCAGGGGGGCCATCCCTGCTGTGCCCCACTGCCCCACACTGCATGGGGGACTTTGCATGAGCCCCCTTGCTCCTCCACCCCATCCCCCAGCTGCCCCACCGGCCCCCGCTCCGGCCCTTTACGGAAAAAACCGGAACTAAACCCTGGCACTCACCAGCTCCTTCAGCTGCTTCAGGGGGGCCGTGGGCGAGGCCCCCCCCATGGTGCAGGGCCATGGGGGGACAGCGGGGATCACCCCCCGCTGGACAGGAACTAGTGAGGCCAGGGTTTTCCGTCTCCTTAAAGGGCCAGAGCTGGGGTGGGTGGGAGCGCCTGGTGAGTCAGCACTTTTTAATCGATTCGGGACAGTGATTCGAATCACCAAATTGAATCACTCTCCCCTGAATCGGCTGAATCTGAATCCAAAGCGAATACTAGCCACTTCGCACAGGCCTAGAAAATATCCATTTCACTCTCCCTTTGGTCTGTTACTATTCTCTTAGACTGTGAGCTCCCTGTATGGTCTTTCTGTGTATTAAAACAGCACTTAAGCGAATGGGGCCTGCTCCTGAGTGAGACTTCTGGATATTACCATAGAAAAGGTATTAACGGCCAGACACTTTGAAATACTACTACTTTTTATTACATACCAACCACAAGGTTCTAGTCTCTAACTACAAGATAAAAATGAGTTGTTTTTGTGAGTTCAGAGTTGCTGGCCTGCTCTTATTTCTTCTAGAAAAGCAGTGAGTTTTAAGGATGAAAATAACTCATGTGGTGAAAGGATATCAAAAAAGTAAGTCACACATGAAGCCTCCCTAGTCTGACAGTGTTTGGATTACAAGAGAACACCAAGAATTCTTATGAGGAGACAGCTCATATATTTAGTGTGTGTGTTATGGTCCATATTCCTTCTCCAATATGAAGTGTGCAAAAAAAGGTTCTCTTCCCTTCAAAACACCACTGAAATGGAACTGGCTCTGCGGAAAAGGAACTGTTACCAACTTTCATGACAAAACTGCAGAATGGTTCCTGGATCAGAAAGTGGGCTTTTGATCAAGGATGTAGCAGCAAACACAATTGAGAAAAGATCCCCTAGAGAGTAGGAAGGATTCAGTCACTAACGTTCCATTCCACGGACACGCAGATACAGCTGGTGCCCTCAGATGTCAGAAGTTGGAGGTAATTCAGGTCCTTTTATTAAAAAAAAAAGAGAAAAAAAAGTCAAGGATTTGTAATGTTTCATGTGACTTAAATTGCGATAGCAAGTAACATATGCAAAATTACCCGTAGATATGAAGGGCCCAACTAAGGTGAGGCTGAAAACTTGGTCTTGGTCTAAGATCAATTCCATGGTACTTATTTCAAAGTCCTACTGTAAAGTGTATAACATCCCCTGGCTGTGATACTCCAGACTTGGCTGCATTTTGGTGATGCTGCCTGCTTGTGAATAGCGAAATCTTGAACCTTTCGAAGTGAAAGAACAAAATACTATCTTTTTACTCCTCTGCACGTACAATTTTGGTACCTAGTGTACTAGTAAGAGCAGATTTACATTTTTGTCTCCATAAAAAAAGAAATATATTTTATTAAACCAACTGAATAGTTGGACAAATTGTTCTTTACAAGCTTTGGGGCAAAAACACCCTTTTTCAGGCATAGGGAGAGTCTGCTAGTCTTTGTCTACTCTCTGGGATCAAATAGAAGCTTAATCCAATATGCAAAATTCAGGTCTGAAAATGCAGTTGATCTAATAAAAGATATCACATTTACCCAAATAACCTTGTCTGCCTATATTCTTAGACCAACACAGCTACAACCAACACCTCCAAAATGAAATGCATGCACACTATTTCCTGGTTTGAGGTTATGAATGTAGATCATCCAAAAAACCCAGGGGCAGAAACTGACCAACAACTTGATTATCCAGCATCCACCCCAACTCCTCTCAGAGTCAACTACAGTGCCTTGTCGTAGACCTCAGTGGTCGATGAAACCAGTGCTTCTGTTTTCGTTCTCAGTCTAAACTCAGGCACTGAAGTGGAATCTCTTGAGTCACTTGGTGTAGAAGGATGTTCACAGTCCTTAGACAGAGGCTCATACTTTCTGTTCCCTGTTTCCTAGCTGCATATAGCAGCAGCCAATGGTTACCTGCATGCCGCTGAAGTCCTTCTTGACCAGGGAGCAAGGCTGGACGTCAAAGACTGGGATGGCTGGGAACCCCTCCACGCTGCTGCTTTCTGGGGACAGGTAAACATTTTGGTGCAAGTCTATCTTGTGTGACTAGATCAGGTCAATCTGTCAGGTCAGATGCTGACCTTCTCGAACGTCAGCTTAAGTGCTTCAGTTGGAGGATACCTGCTCTTTTTGTCTACAAAGCTTGTATGTATTATGGGCACAGTGAGCACACACAATGGAGCATTACTGCATTTGGGTTTTCTATCCCTGGACTGGGATCAGGGCAGTGCACCTGGTGGCCCACAAGCTGCATACAGTCCACAAGGGATTAAGTTGCAACCCTTGGGCTCCAGTCCTGCTGCTGCTCTCCACATCACTCCCCCTCCCTTCTCTAGCTTCTGCTTCTCATCCCTGCCCCAAGAGGGCCACAACTGAGACCCTAGTTTCAATAGACAGTAGACCTAGCTGCTTCCAAACTTGCTTTGCCATTTAGATCACTGGCAAATGGCAATACTCTAAACCAGTACCATTAATATTCCTTCATTTCCCTTGCCCTAGATGCAGATGGCGGAATTGCTAGTATCCCATGGAGCTAGTCTGAGTGCCAGGACATCCTTGGATGAGATGCCAATTGGTGAGTTGGAACTCTGTCTCTTGATTTCCCCCGTTGCTTTGATATTTCTAATTACAGAAGAATCAGTGAGACAGCTCCAGACAGCACAGAAAAACCATGAACCCTTTTCCCTCTTAGCCAGTTGCAGTTTTGGGGTAGAATTTTCAAAAGCATGGAGGTCTCACTTTTTTCAAGTAACTTAAGAGTCACAGTTATGTTGTCTTTAAATGGTTCTTAGAGCATTTAAGTATCTGTTTCACTTCAGTGCTTTCAGAAATGTTACCTTTGTTCTTCAAGAGAAAAGGAGCTTCTCAAGTACCGACTTATCTCTCATACCCACCTGTTCACATTGCCATATCCAGTCCTCCCTATAGCTTTGCCCACTGACAGTCTAGTCTCTCTTTATTTGAGTTCAGATACCCAAAGATGGGACAACACACGTTCACACCATCTGGGTGCAGCTCTAAAAAAGCTCTAATGGAGTCTTTCTTTTTTTTTTTAACCTTCATGTTCTGTGCTTAGTTGTGAAGCTAGATTGGTGTTTAGCAGAAAAAGATGAAGTAGAGAAGTCTAATGACAAGCATAGTGGAGCTCAAGATAACAGTTTCCTGCCTGTATCTGTGTGGTTGACTTGCTCGTTGTTATGACATTGTGTAGATAAAGGCAGAAGAGGTATGTGGCTTAGATAACCTCTGCAGAGTCTCTCTATAGAGAAAGAAAAGCATCCTTGATTTTCTTTCTCCCAGAACCTGTCTAGGTTCTGTCCATTCTTTTTCCTTTTTTGGGTTTTAAGAACTTTATCCCCAGGAACTGTAATCAGTTAAATACAGAACTTCTTAAAGGCTTCTTCCCTTGCATAAAGACTGTCCTTGTGATTCACACCAGGCTTCAACATACCAGTCCTTTTTTTAGATGTCTTAAACCTTGCTGCTACACCTAACTACTTCAGGGATTGAGGCCTCACTCTGTTTTGCTTACATTGTTCCTCATTTTATCCCAGAATGCAGTGGATCTAAATACCAAGAAGACGTGGCTTTCCAAAGGTCTAGTAATAGTAGGCATGTCTGTCTTGCGAGACAATAGAAGTGTGCCAAGTGGGGCATCAGCTTGCTGAACATCTGCAAGTGTGGCTGTAGAGCTCAATTTTTTCTTGAGTGACAGTCCCTTCTGCACTTATCACACATGAAGTTCATATCAAACACTCCTAAATGTGCTGTGCAGTTCTTATAAATCTTCTCTCAGTCATTTGGCTTGATGTTAATTGCCTTCATATCTCTAGGCAACACACAGCATCCCTCTCTTCATCAAACGTACTGGACTTATAACTCACAACTGCTGTGTCCCATATTGAATCCTTGCTTGACAGATAAAGTGAAGCTTGAATGATCTCTCCAGCATGCAAAAGCCTGGGCAATATATATGGAGACACTGAGCTGGACATACAACAGTGTCCCCCTCTCAGCCATGCTTGCTTAATCCAAAGCAAAGGCAGGTGCTACTATGTTTGGAACAACTTGGCTGTGGGAGCTCCAGGAACAGAGAATATCCATTTGTCCATTTATTGAGGCTCCACTGCTAGACTGGTTGATAACCAGGGTTAAAGAGCCCAGTCTACCCTATCATGGGATGGACCTCAGTTCCACAACCTTTTGGCAGCATTTCCTCCCCCTCTAAGGCACTCTTCTGCCTGAAGCCATTGGCACTGTACAGTTTGTCAGGTTATTTAACCGCTGCCCTGCATTGAGTTGGGCGGATGAGAACCTGATGGTGTTTAACACTGAAAAATGCAAGTTTCTCCACCTTGGGAAGAAAAACCTGCAGCATCCCTATAGGCTTGGCAGTGCTACGCTGGCTAGCACTACAGATGAAAGGGACTTGGGGGTCATGATTGACCAAAACATGAACATGAGCCTTCAATGTGATGCTGCGCCTAGTAAAGCGAGCAAAATGCTGGCTTGCATCCATAGATGCTTCTCAAGCAAATCCCGGGATGTCATTTTCCCCTTGTACTCGGCCTTGGTGAGGCCACAGCTGGAGTACTGTGTCCAGTTTTGGGCCCCACAATTCAAAAAGGATGTGGAGAAGCTTGAGACAGTCAGGAGGAGAGCCATGTGCATGATCAGAGGTCAGAAAAACAGACCTTACGATGTCAGGCTGAGAGCTATGGGACTCTTCAGCCTGGAAAAGCACAGGCTCAGGGGCAATCTGATAGCCACCTATAAGTTTATCAGGGGTGTTCACCAGGATCTGGGGGAACGTTTGTTCACCAGAGCACCCCAAGGGATGACAAGGTCAAATGGTCCTAAACTCCTGCAAGACCGTTTCAGGCTGGACATAAGGAATAATTTCCTTACTGTGCGAGCCCCCAAGATTTGGAATAGCCTGCCATTGGAGGTGATTCAGGCACCTACTCTGAACGCCTTCAAGAGAAAATTGGATGTTTATCTTGCTGGGATCTTGTGACCCCAGCTGACTTCCTGCCCCTGGGGCAGGGGGCTGGACTCGATGATCTTTCGAGGTCCCTTCCAGCCCTAATGTCTATGAAATCTGTGAGTCACAGGTAGTACCATCTACTATAAATTATGGTATCAAGTGAACCTGACCTGACATTTCAAAGGTCTCAGGTTCTCATATATGCTCCCTCTAGTCTGCTCATGCCATTGTAGCTGAGTGTACTACTATAGAACAGCCCAGTTCACAGCTTGGTTTGTGTGTGTCTTAGACCTGTGTGAAGAAGAGGAGTTTAAAGTCTTGCTGCTGGAGCTGAAACACAAGCATGATGTGATCATGAAATCCCAGCTGAGGCACAAGTCCTCCTTGAGTAGGAGGACCTCCAGCACTGGAAGCCGTGGGTGCGTATGAAACTTTTTTCTTCACAAAGCTTACCACAGTCCAGATTTTAAAGTACTGTTGCTGAAAACAGAATGCTTTAAACTTAGTACACATGAGACCAGGTTTTCAGCTCTAACTTTTAGTGGGTTCTTCGAGTGGCAGAAGTCAGGAAGCTTTTTCTTTGTTGAAATGGAGCTTCTTTCACCACCAGGCAGCGCAGTGTCTGGAAAAGCAGACTATATTAGTCTGGACCATAACATGGGGAATTGAGGTATCAAGTGATGGAGGTTCACCACCCTTTAATATATACTTTTGCCTTTATCAATTGGTGCTTCATGATATGCGCTCACTTCAGCTTTAGTGAAGGTGTGGGAAGAGGTGGATTTGTAGTAACGGGTAACACAAAGCAGAGCCAAGACACTCTTGTGCTGCTTATAACTGAACACAAAGTCCACTAAGAATATGTTTTCCTGCTTGAAAAAATTAAAGCAGCAGCTCGCAAGCCATTGTATACAACTCTCCCCTTCCCCATTGACCAATCTTACCACACTCTTGACTTGAATGTACCTCTTGCTATCCCAAACCTGTGGTAAGATAGATCCTTTTCTGAAATCCAAACAAGTAGAGAAAGCTAGAGGAAATAGCCTATATGCAATCTTTTTTTAACCTAACCTTGTCTTTTCAGTGCTACAGATGCAGACTCAGTGGCAGTTCCTACTTTGAAAACTTCCACTACCTTTTATTTGTTCTTGTTGCTGATCAGTAATGCAAGGGTAGTGGCTTCTTATTTCATGTGAACTTTGAAAAGCTTACTGCACATTTGTCTTGCACTTTTTGATGCTCTGTTGGAAAATGTAAAAGTGCAAAGACCATGTAAGAGAAACTATAGTGGAAGATTCAGCTGCCCATCTTGCTAACACTTCTGCTCTTTCTTATACCTGTCTTTCAGGAAGGTGGTGAGGAGAGCAAGTCTTTCAGACCGAACAAACCTTTACAGGAAGGAATGTGAGAAAGAAGCCATTGTCTGGCAGCAAATGGGGGCAGCAGAAGAGCAGAGAAGTTCAGGCCACTATGGAGAAATTGGGGAGACTCGATCTGACCAAGAGAACACGGATCCAGTAAGGGACCCCAAGCTTCATTACATGAAGTTGCATCAAAGAAGTCATAGCAAAAGTCTCCCAGCAGAGTTGTCAAAGGAGCTATGTGCAGGGTTTGAATTGCATCCCAACTCTTGTTGGGCGGAGGGGGTTGTGGTGGTGGCAGCCAGAAGGAGCTGCTGCTGCCACCTGAGACACGGGGTGGGCTGGGTGAGCTCTTGTCTCTTATGGGGGGAGCTCAGACCCCCCAAGCTCCCCCATAATTCGAGCCCTGGCTGTGTAGATGTGGCATGTTAACGGGTGATCTTCAGCACTATGGTGATGTATAGGACATTGTATAAGAACCTAAGTCTCAAAGGGCAAGATTCTGATTGCAGTTATACTGGTATAAATTAGGAGTGCTGCCAGTGAAGTTGAAGGACTAAAGGGTCAGGCAATTGCAATAATTAATTTTCTACTACTAAACGTATGTTTTGTCTACTTTCAATGGGTAATAATCATTGGTATTATACAGTGGGTGGAGAGGAGCAGACTTTGTGTTTCTAGGAGAACCTTTATCATACCTTCCCTCGTTGTATGTATTTATTTAATTTGGCTGTGGGCATGTTGCAATAACGGAATCTTTGCATATAATGACCTGGGTTTTGAAGGAAAACAAGTGTCTGAATTTTCTTCCATGTTAAGATTTAACTGGCTCAAGTGGACTTTGAAGTTCACATGTTAGATGAAATCAAAGGGGATGGTGGGTGGGAATGGAGTGATGTCAACCTTTTACCGGAGTTGCTGTTTGCCTTCAGGATTTGGTTAAAGGGGATTGTCCTGCCTGAGGAGGTTGCACAAGATGCAGACTCTGCTATCCTGGAGAGAGAGCTGCTCCTGTTTTTAATGAATGTTTTCTCATTACAGAATTTGGCACTAGAGAAGTCCACCCTCCTTCCTGAGTTAGCAAACAAAAGCACACAATGTGACTCTGAAAGCCCTCTTCAGAACGGACTCAGGGCATCTGCCAGCACTTACCAGTACTTCTCCAATGGGGACATTTGGAAAATGCACACATCGCCAGACAGTAACACAAGCCAAGTACTGTCTTATGGCAGTCCAGGCCTCCCTGACTCTCAGCAGATCTGGGATGCCTACAAGGAGCACAGCCATCAAACGCTCTCTGAACTGAAGCGGCAGCGGGCTGCAGCTAACTTGCTCAACCACCCCTTCATCAGCACCCACTTTGGCAGTAGTGCAGGAGGGATAGTAGAGAATGGGGGTGAGACCAAATCACACCTGATCGGATCCAGGACTTCTCCTTACAGCTCCAGTGGGACTTCTGTTTATTACACAGTGTCCAGTGGTGATCCACCCCTCTTGAAATTCAAAGCTCCCATGGAGGAAATGGAAGAGAAAGTCCATGGATGCTGTAGGATTTCTTAATCTCATCCACTTCTCAAACCAGTGGAGACAAAAAGTGGGTAGGCTGGCTGAATCTATTACTTTCCACCCTGGCACGGGGAGAACTCAGTGTAGTTACAGAAGACCTGACTCTGCCAGCCTCTTCCAGCCTTTTGAACAGTACTTTGCCCTGCCAGTAACTTCCATTACAGTCAAAGGGGGAAGGCAGGTGGAATGAGGCCCACAGGGGATAAATGGAATAGTTTACCATGTGCAAGTAAAAAGAACTACCCTGCTCTTGCTTATTGAGAGGGACAATACTTTTGATGGAAAAAATTATATGATTTTCAAATCCTTATTTTCAAGTCTCCTGCTGAGAGCCAGCAAGCTTCCTGAATGTGGCAGATTGGTCCCGACTTTTACCTCTGGATGT